AACAGATAATATAATTCCTGGTGGGTGCTGTAGGATCAGCACTGGACTTTGAACCACAAAGTTGGAAGTTCAAATCTACCAGCTGCTTCTCAGAAACCCTATACAGGGTTGCTAAGATTTGGAACCGACTCAACTACACTTAACAATAACAACAACAATATAACTGTATGTTACCGGCTTATTAAAGCTTCTCCAGTCCTCAGAGAAGACCTAGAGAATAGTTAAGCCTACAACCCTATTCAATGTAAAACACAAGTGAACATTATAGCTGGATGAGTCCACTTTAAGGAGATGTCAAACAGAATGCTACTAGGGTTCCAGTTTATACATGCACAGTTGTATTCCAAACAAACTATGCTTAAACATGTCTCTGTGGTCCATGGATGGCTGTAGACAAGTTCTATCATTAATACAACTGTCTTTATCTCATTAGGGTGCCTTCAAAAAGAAAAACAGTTTCAATCAAAACAATGACTTCAAAGGGTATCTGCTGGGTCAGTTAGATTCAAGGCAGAGAGTTCAGCTCAGAAAGCTATGACAGCTGTTTTGGGGTAATTACTATGGGGTTATCTTGATAGATTTTCTTAAAGGACACAGAATAATCATGAGGGTTTACTGGGAGGGGGTTTTAAGAAAATTGAAAACTGCATTATTGGGGAAAAGTCCAGGCAAGTTGCACCGAGTTATTATTTCCCCCATCACAACAATGCACATACTTGCAGGGGCAGCAAGGGCTATCCTCTGAGAATTTCACTGGAAAACCTTAGCCCATCTACCCTATCCTACCGATATATCCTGTACCCATTTACGCTTATCTCAAGAGCACTGAAAAGGAACATAATTTGAGTCTCTCGAGGATGCCAAAATTACTGTTCTGACATTGTATAAATCAAAGTGCACAAAAAAGTTTACAGTGATAGAAACATCTCTTTTAGAAATGTATAGACCTCGATGGAGTCCTGGTGTGATGCTATGGGTTAATGCACTGGACTGCAAAGTCAGTTTGAACCGCAAGGTCAGCAGTTCAAGCTCACCAGCCGCTCCTCAGAAACTAGGGTCGACTCAACAGCACTTAACAGATGGAGGGTATGTAGGAAAACAATAGCTTCACATTCTAAGATTTTGTACGGTAAAAGTGTCAAAGATTTTGTAGCAATACTTTGTGGCTCCTCCTTGTATTTCTCCTTGCTGTATAAATCACTGAGGCCCTGGTGAAGAGGCTCTAAGGCATCCCTGGGTCACGCATCCTAGAGCATTCCATGCACCACCTTGGAGCGCCATCTCTCAGACACAGCCTCTGACGTCAGAGTTGACCTTAATTGGCTCAAAGTCAGCAACACGAGATGTCACAGTGCTGACAGATATAAAGTGCTGTGGCAAACTGAGCTATAGTAGCCTGCTGTTTTGGCAAGTTAGATCAATGCATACTAGGAAATGCTGAAAAAGAGAAATGTAAAGTAAATCAGCATAATTTTGGAAGCCAAGGCAGCCTGTTAATTAACTGAAAGAACTGACATTTATGCATGCTTTAGCATGCAAAAGCACTTTCGTATTCCACTCTCAATTAATTCTCACAGCTCTATAAACTAGATAAATCATTATTATCTATGTTTTACCAATGTGGAGATTTTGGGACTCAGGAACTGGCAAGTGGCCATGATTAAATTCCCAGGTCTTTTGACTCCATGGTTCCTTCCGCTATATTTATCACACCATTTCTCCCTTTCTCAGCATATGGTCATGCAAAGAATTACCCGAGTATACGCCAAAGGAAATGAAAAACCTCAGAAAGCATTCCCCAATAACCTTCTCCTTCCCTCCACCTACACTAGGGGTGTACATCGTGGGAGGGCAGGAAATGAAGATGCAGCAGGGACCAATCAATAGGAGAAACAAGATATATAAGGAAAGAAGCTTATGGTCTGGCCTCTGTTAGCAACTTCTGCTCAACTTGCAAAATCTTCTGGTCAGAGATCAGTCCAGCTAGAGAAAACAATTTGAGCAAAGCAATAACCAGTACTATATTTCCTGAAACAGACACTTGGGGAAAGTCACAAGCTTCCTGGCTTGGAAATTTGGTCTGGCCCTACTCTGAAAACAAAGTCCATCATTTTGTGCCCTCATTACCTCTCACCTAGTTAGCCACATCAATTGCCTAACTTGCTCTCATGCTTCCAAATTTTTCTCCTTCCAACCCTTCCCCCCACCAATGCAATCTTCAAATGTCGTCATTTTTTCTCCCTTATGATGCTCCAATAACACTTTCTCTGAACTTTTGTTACAGCACCAATCATATTCTGTCATGTATTGACAGATACGCATCTGATTACATGCTTATCTCCACAGGTGTACTATAAATTCCCCAAGGGCAGGGCACATGTCTACCTGATGCCTAAAGTCTTACATACAGAAAATACTCAATAAACATTCTATTCCCAACTTCATTTACTTCATTCACCTCATCCAGTCTCATGTTTAGATATTACCTAAAGGCCAACACTTACAGTTCTCTCACTCAGACCTCTCCACTGAACTCTACACTTATATATCTAGCTGCCTACTCAATAATTCTGTTTGTGTGTCAACTGACATACCAAACTCAACACAACCAAACTGGATCTCATCTCATGGTCCTCTCAACCTGTTCCACTTGTAGTCTTTCCCGTCTTAGTTCATGGAAATTTCGATTTTCTAGTTGCTCAGACCCAAACCCCTGGGGTCATCTGTGACTCCTTTCTTTCTCACACACCTTAAATGAGAAAACTCAGACCATTTCTATATATCCTGACTCTATGGAGAAGACTTCATGATCTCCACTGCCCTCTTTCACCTCTAGCCTGGATTATCACTGCAGTCTCCTAACTTCAGCCTTGTTTCCTACAGTTTATTCTCAACATCCTACAGCTTATTCTGTATTCAAAACAATCCTTTTCAAATGGAAGTTATAGCAAGTCCTTTGGTCAAAACCCCACAGTGGCTTCCCATTTATTGGCAAGTAAAGGCCTTTCAATGGCCTACAAAGCTCTTCATCATCTGTGCTCTCTCTCACATCCTGTTTGTTGCTCTCTGGCCACAGCCAATGCTGGCTCTGCTCTGCTCTCACTCAGCTCCAGCCTCACTGGCCTCCTTCTTGTTTGTTCCATGTGCCAGAGCCTTTACATTGGCTGTTCCCCATATAACTGCATGGCTAACTTCCTCACCTCTTTCTAGTCTTTGTTCAAATACCACCTTTTCAGTGAGCTCACCTTGGCCGCCCTAGTTAAAAAATTGCAACTTCGCCTCAGTGGAACTACCAGTCCTTTTAATGGGCTCTCTGGTTTTCCTGAAGAGTTATCATCTTTGGACTCCTGGTGTGGTGCTGTGGGTTAATGCGCCAGACTGCAAAGCCATTTGAACTTCAAGGTCGGCGGTTCAAGCTCATCAGCTGCTCCTCGGAAACCCTATACAGGGTCGCTACGGGTTGGAATCAACTTGACGGCACTTCACACCAACAACAACAACAAATATACAGTTTATTTCCTTATTTATTATGATTATTGTGTGGCTCCCCTGCTCACTTCCAATCAGCAAGCTTCACAAGGCCAGGGATTTTTGTTTAATTCACTGAAATAGCCGAAGCATGCAGAACAACGTCTGGCATATCATGGGCTCTCAAAAAACATATACTATAAAAGAAGCACTAGTCCACATTCTATGGAACTGGCTCTCCTAGAAACTATGTATCAGACACTTGAGGGAATGGCTTCACACCCACAAAAAGTTTATGAAATGATGGTGTGGTTCAAGATCTCAACCTCATACATCAATTCCAATAATTAGGTGCCCTTTTCTTTATCGCACATCTCTTGGTATCCAGTTCCATATTATGGTTCCTGAAAAATAACCTAGCACCTTGTATTTATCTAGATACTCTGGCCATCTACCCCAGTCCTTATTCCCAGATTGGCCTCTTGTCCTCTCCCTTTTGCTTCCTATCAGACAGACCTCTTTGATCCTGGTCTCTGACCACTAGACCTCCGTAACTTCAACACTCTGTTTACCTGAACATCTGCCCACTTCCTAACATAGACAACTTAAGCCCTTCAATACTACTTCCCCACTGAATATCCTGACTCCTATCTTCTCATTAATCCTGAAACTTTTCTGAAGAGCCAGTCAAACTCTATCTATATGGTTTTTCTACTTAATCTTTAAAATTGGCCCCAAACAGACTAAGCAAATACTGTTAAGTGATGATGCATGGAGGGGACTGTAATCAATGCAGTGAAACAAAATACAATAGAATGAGTATAAACCCTATGTTCTCCCATGTTAACTATCACTCAATTCACAAAAAAACCTTTAAAAAAAAAAAATCTGCCCAGCCCTGACTTGAGCCTGAAAATAATGGACATAAGTTTCTGGCTCCTCAAAGAACATAGTCAATCTTCCTAACTGTCAGAATACATTTGGCTACCAAAAATTAATCAGTCAACATTGTTGTTGTTGGGAGGAGAAAGCCTCATCTTTCTCCCGCAGAGCAGCTGGTAGTTTCGAACTGCTGACCTTGTGTTTCGTAGCTCGATTCATAACCACTATGCTACCAGAGCTCCTTCAGTCAACATTAAACAATATGAATTTTTCTTCAGTTTTTGTTGTTGTTGTTGGGTGCCATCGAGTCAGTATCAACTCATAGTGACCTTATGCACAGCAGAACGAAACACTGCCCAATCCTGGGCCAACCTCACTATTGGTGCCACGCTTGAGCCCACTGTCACTTTGCCAATTCATCTCGCTGGAGTCTTGGCTTATCTATTTTACTTAGATCCTTCCATTTAGGTGATATCAGAATATACTTTGCATTTTGGTGCCTAGAAAAAAAGAATACTCTCAGATTCCTCAGGAAACAAGACAAGATTAGAAGAATGTTTGGGTACAAATAAAATAGCAATGGTTTGTAGTCTGAATCCAATTTTTACCCTGCTAGTCCTCGTATACTTTTCAGCATTAATACCACATACCTAGAAGCATCAAGGAATGGTTTGTAGGCCAAGCTGATCCATTCTTCTCTATTGGATGAATATTTTGGCTCCCGGGCTGTTTCTCTTATGGTGTCCAAATCTACTAAATAATGACATTTATTGATGTCAATCTGCAAAGGAGAAAGGGCAACTCTTCATTAGTAATTACCAAGGTCCCTTCAAGGTAGAGAAAATCAAATACAATCCTAAGAAATCCCACAGGGTTTTATAGGAAAGAATATCTAAATCTTTGGACGTGTTACCTATGATCTCTTCCCTAGGATAAGGCTATTTGGTGTTGAAGTATTATTTAGACTAAGGGGGTAGGGATGGGGCTGGGGCATGTGAACCTCTGGTGCGGTGGCACTTAGGATAAGCACTGGACTACTAACTGCAAGGTTCAAACCCACCAGCTTCTCCTCAGAAACCAAACACAGGGTCACTATGAGTTGGAACCGACTCAACGGCACTTAAGAATAACAACCCACTCATCTAGTCAAAGGTATATGTAAGCTTTGAGTTGTCTAACCCTAGTTTGGATTATGAAGTCTCCCTTGCCCCACAGACAATTCTGAAGCCACTTTGAGGCCACTCACAATCTACCTCTGGAAAACCTATCTTCTTCTGCTCACTATTGCTCGTTTCATCATAACTGGGATATCATGTATGTCATCTTCTTCAAAGAGTCAACAAAATTGAGACACCAGAACCGTCTCCTCAGCAAAAGCCCAATAAAAACAGATATTAGATCCGCAGGTGTGAAGATTGTAAAATATATATAGCACGTACTAGCAAAACTATAGTCCATTTAGTCACAGGCACTTGTAAGAGAAATATTTAAACATTTCACATAAAGCCACATTGCTACTGTGTGTCTCACCAAATTGATGAATTCAATGAAACGTGCTACAAAATACTTAGAATCCTTCGGCTGTTTAATTCATTTCAAACTGCTATCACATACATTCTTCCTCTCTTTTCAAAGTCACCAGAGTACTTACCAAGGACATTTTTAAAAGGCTTTTTAAAGTTTTAAAAAGTTAAAACTTTTTTTTTCAAAGCAGAAAAAAGGGCACTGCCTTACACCCGGGCCAAGAATGATGCCAAGACACATGGAGGACTCCATGGAATGCTGGGCCTACAGATGCTGAAAGGAATTAAGAACCTTTCTCCTAAACTGTGAGGCACAAGAGACAAAACCTTCCTCTAGAGCTGTGAATTAGATTTCTAGCACCTCACAGAATGGTCAAACCATTCAAGATCAAAAGGGTAGCATTTACCCTTACTCAAAGAGAAAACTCAGAAAGGTTGGGAAAGATGGAGAATGGAAGGAAGCAGTACAGGGAGGAAGTGGGAGAAGTGATGCTCAGTTGAGAGGATTGCAATCATTGAAATGAAATGAAGTATATGGTTTGTTGAACGTAAAACTTAATGATCTATTCTGTAAACCTTCATTTAACACACAATAAAAAGTTGAAAAATATTTAAAACCAAGAAAGAGTCCTTCTAGATGATCAGACTTGAATTACTATAAAGACCATCTAAAATATAAATACATCTACAACAAATATCATATTTAATGGTGAAGGGTTGAAAGCTTTCCCTTTGGGAACAAGAATCAGACAAGATCCATCAGACATCAGCAATGGTATCCTTTATTCCACATCTTCTTTTAAATCTGGCTGGAATTTCTAGGCAGTTCTTTGCCAATGTGCTGCTGCAAACATTTTAAAATTATCTTTAGCAAACTTTTACTTACCTGTGATATTGATGATATTGTTCAATAATTTCTGATTCTATTGAATCACCTTTCTTTGGAATGGGCACAAATATGAATCACTTCCAGCCAGGCAGCTGTCTCTGAAATTTCTTGAAATAGATGAGTGTGTGCTTTCAGTGTTGGATTCATTTGCTGAAATATCCCAGTTGGTATTCCACCAATTTCTGGAACCTTGTTTTTCTCCAATGCCTTAGTGAAGCTTGGACTTCTTCCATCAGTAACGTGGTTCTTGATTATATGCTACCTTCTGAAATGGTTGAACACCAACTCTTTTTGGTACAGTGACTCTGTGTATTCCTTCCATCTTTTGATGCTTCTTGCATTGTTCAATATTTTGTCCATAGAATCCTTATTACAACTTGAGGCTTGAATTTTTTCTTCAGTTCTTTCAGCTTGAGAAATGCTGAGTATGTTCTTCCCTTTTGGTTTTCTAACTGCAGGTCTTTACACATTTCATTATAAGACTTTACTTTGTCTTCTCAAACTGCCTTTTAAATCTCCTCTTCAGCTCTTATACTTCATCATTTCTTCTATTCACTTTAGATTACACTCTATGTTCAAATGCAAGTGTCAAAAAGAGTCTCTTCTAACATTCATTTTGGTCTTTTCTTTCTTTCCTGTCTTTTAAATGACATTTTACTTTCTTTATGTATGATGTCATCCCATAATGCATCATCTGGTCTTCTGTCATTAGTGTTCAATCCATCTATTCTTAAGATGGCCTCCAAATTCAGGTGAGATATATACAAAGTCATACTTTGGCTCTCATGGACTTGTTTTAATTGACTGCAGCTTCAATTTGAATTTGTGTATGAGCAACTGATGATCTGTTCCATAGTCAGACCTGGACTTGTTCTGACTGATGATATTGAGGTTTTCCATAATTTCTTTCCACAGATGTAGTTTATTTGATTCTTGTGCATTCCATTAGGTGAGGACCATAATATAGCCATCATTTATGCTGTTAAAAAAATAACATCCCAAAATTCTATCATGTAATCTCCAACATGGTTTCTATCACCACAGTCATATTTTCCAACTATTGATTCTTGTTCTTGTTAGTGTCCAACTCTCACATTTCAATCACCAATAAATAAATATTAATGCATTTTGATTGCATGTTTGATCAATTTCAGACTACAGAAGTTGTCAAAAATCTTCAATTTCTTCATTTTTGGCATTAGTAGTTGGTACATACATTTGAATAATAATCATATTAACTGATCTTCCTTGTCTTTTTGTTGTTAAGTACCATCAAGTCGGTTCTAACCCACAGAAACCCTGGATGTATAGGGTTTCCAATTCATATGGATATTATTCTATCAGTGATAGCATTGTACTTCAGGATCTTGAGTTATTATTTTCTAAAATATATGTGACAAGAACACTACTCCATTCAACAAAGTATTAAAGATACTAGCCAGCAGTGAGATAAGGAAAAGAAACGAAGGGCAGAAATAACAGAAAGGGAAAACTAAACTATTCATCGCAGTTGGTATGACTGGGTATATATAAAATCCTTATGAATCTACAGGCACAGTTTTAGAATTACTAAGGGTGTTTAGCAAGTCTGGGACAAGATGGCAAAGTAAGCAAGCTCACTGAGCTAACCCTAATAAAGACATGGGAAACTGAGTGAAACAGATATAGAGGGTGATCCTGGAATCCTGAGCATCAGATGATAGAACAGAGAGGTGGCAAATTAGACGAGGAAGCTGAACAGGATCAATGAGAGAGAAGAAAACGGGAGGACCTTGGGCTGATGTGGAGAGGTGCAGCCATCTTGAGCTTTTGTGAGTGACTTTTGATATAGTGGCCTGCAGACACAGGACTCAGCGGGAGGCTGTGGCAAGGGGCTGTAATTTGCCCTTCTTCCCAGGCCCTCCTGGTAGCCTGAGGCCTGACTAGTCCCCACCCTTAGCAACCCAGGCCTCTGTTCTGCCAATCCCAGCATTAGAGTCCTGTACACTCTATTTGCATGGTCTTTGGTTAGAAAAGCCGTATCAGGTAGATTAAAGGTACAAGGAGTGACTGCTAAATGGATACAGGGTTTCTTTTTGAGGTGATGGAAATATTCTTAAATTTAAAAGTGACGGTTGTAGAACACTGTGAAACAACTAAAAGCCACTTTACTTTACAGAAATACACTTTAAAGCAGTTTTAAATGGTAAATTTTGTTACGTGCATTTGATCTCAAAAATTAAAAAATTAAGATGCTACAAAGTAGACCTAAATAACTGAAGAGAGATACCTCATTCCTAAATGAAAGACTCAAGATGATAAAGAATGTGGTGGCTCTGTAGCATAAACACTGTTGTGCAAACTGCAAGGTCAGCAGTTCAAGCCCACTAGATATTCCACAGGAAAAAAGATGAAGCTTTCTGCTCCTGCAAAGATTTACAACCCTGGAAATCCTAACAGGTTGACTATGAGTTGAAACTGACTAGATGACATTTAACAACAACATACCTTATTCTTAAATGAAAGACTAACAATTATAAAGATGTAAATTCTTCCCAAATTGACTGATAGATTAGATGCTATCTTGATCAAAATTCCAACAGAATTGTTATTGTTAAAGGTTGATAAGTTAGTTTTAAAGCATATATGGAAACGCAGAAGGACAAGAATAGCCAAGATACTCTTGAAAAAAACAAGATGGAAGTCTTACTTACTATAAAGTTAAACTCACTAAGACAGTGAGATACTAGTGCAGGAATAGACCACCAGACCAATAAAAAGAATAGATTCACATACATAAGGCCCTTCATGATAACAGAAATGATACCACACAGTGTGGGAAGAGGATGATCTTTTCTTTAACTAGTGCTGGGACAACTGAGTATCCATAATGGGAAAAATGAAATTGAAGTTCAACTTCACTCCGTATACAAAACTTAACTTCCAACAGCTTACCAACCTATGTGAAACACAAAACTATAAAGTTCTTGGAAGATAATGTAAAAGAATATCTCTACGATTTAGAGTAAAATTTTTTAGACAAGGTACAAGAAAGCACTAACTATAAAAGAAATGATTGATAAGTTTGACTATATTAAAATTGGAAATATCTGTTCATCAAAAGACACACTGATAAGAGAATGAAGAGAGAAGTCACAGGCTAGGAAAAGCTCTATGCAATACATTTAATCATGATGGATTCATATCTAGAATATATAAAGGATTCCTATTCATCAGTAAGGGGCTCTGGTACTGTAGTGGTTAGGAATCGGGCTGCTAACCTCAGGGTCAGCAGTTTGAAACTACCACGGTTCTGTGGAAGAAAGATGAGGCTTTCTGCTCCCATAAAGATTTACAGCCTCGGAAACCCTGTACAGGGTCGCTATGAGT